TCCCCCCCCCCCCCCCCCCCCCCCCGTGTGAGACATTTTAATGACCAGGCAGCTATGTTTCAGAGTGCCTACCAACTTAATGTAAGGAGACAAAGACAGGGATTTTCTGGAGCATGGCTTATCCCTACATGAATGCATCCTAAAGTGGATTTAAAAATCTGTCAGTGGCAAAGGAGAGAGTAATGACCACATTACTGTAGCTATCTCATTAAAAATCTTACACATTGTTGGATAGATTTGTTGCAGAACAAGGTAGCAGAAAAATACAGTAAACTTGCAAATACCTGTCTTTCTGGAGCTTGATTCAATTGCAGTAGGTTGGAAATTGTGTTTCTGGGACAAGGGGTGTAGCACCCTTTATTTGGCTTTAAATCCATTATTTAGATTGAGGATATAGCAGATTTGACCTAGAATCAATTCTTCTAGTACAAGCCCTCTTAGCTGGGCATGTAGAACCCTGCCTATTAAAGTCCTCTGCTTTCACATCTCCTTTTATTAAAAACTCCAAATATTCCCTTAAGTAAAGAATTGGTTTTTCACATACTTGGTCATGACAAGCAAGTCCCTGAAAATTCTTACTCAGTGCTTTGAAAATTATCTAATAGTCAAATGATCCTCTCTGGAAATGGGAGATCTGTGACGAAACTGATAGAGTTTGGCTATTGATTTCCAGTGGGTCCATTTTACCAATGTTGAGTCTTTGCTGAACTCACACTCCTGGGGATGTACAAAAAACTGAGTTCGAAAACTTGCAGGCAGAATGCTCAGTTCCAGTAAATCACATGTTTTGTGATGGGGTGGGATAGAGATTAAACACACTTTTTCCCAAGCTGTGTTAAACAGTGAAGATCGATCTATTTAATAATTTAAGAATTGAATAGTAACATTATGAGAAAAGAAGAAAGCATGAGGAGAAAATCAGCCCATCATACAGCAACTTGACAGCATTAAAAGCTCACAGTGAAAGGGGGAAATAAATCTTGTGTTGAGAAATAGAGGAATATATGTGTTCTTAGCTCAGTAGGTTCTGTATACATCAAACTTTGGACAGCAATGTTGGGGATATGCATAGGTGTACGCATAGGTGGGATGTTCAACCTTTTATTACATGTGGCAGCATATTACGCTTTCATTTGGATTCATCGACTGTTGAGACTTCCCTAGGAGAGCATTGTCTGGTGAGTGAAATTTTCAGCCAACTGGCTACCTTTCACTTTTTCGGTCCTGCCTGGCACTGCTTAATCTTTTCCGTTCATGTGTTATTACCAGATCCGGATTGCTGTGCTTGTGTCTTGCCCACTGTCATTTAGCACATCTGGAAATGCTGTGGTTTGCCGAATGACAAGTTGCACTCTTTTCTTCCAGTTCCGCCTGGTGGTAAAGACAGCACTGAAGCTGCTGCTGGTGTTTGTGGAGTATACCGAATCCAATGCACCGCTTTTAATCCAGGCAGTATCTACCGTTGATGAAAAGAGAGGTGAGTAGCCTTACTTGGGGGGTGCAAAATCCCAGCACCGCTGAGATCAGGGTGGCATTTCATCACGAATTTCGTTGGTTCTAGAGTTGCTGTCTTGATGCCTGCCTTGCGCGACGTACCCTTCATTTCTTGATTAAAAGCATATTTTAAGTGTTCATGTAATTTAAGGTTGTTTTGAGGGATGAATTATAGTGGGAAAGCGACGAGTGAAAAGCTGAGGAACTCGACTGCCTCCCTGGGCACCGCAGTCACTGCCCCTTCCCTGCACCCGTGCGCAAAGTCAGCCTCCTTGCATTTTCCGACCTCGCAGGCTCCTTCAGGCCAGGCTGTCTTTCCACTTCCTTCTGAGAAGCAGCAGTCTGATTTAGAAGAGAAAATGGTATCTAATCAGTGTAATCCCTTTGAAAAGAAAGACGAGGTCAGTAATAGTACAGGCTTTATAGTAAAAGCAAAACCATCTGTTGTTACATTAAAATAAAGCCCTTGAGCAGATATTATACTATGGAATCTGTTACCCTTCAGGCTCATGAAAAATACTTGAATATGTATACTGTATTTTTTACAAATAAATAGAACAAAAATGGTTCTTTCTTGTTCTTCCCACAAAGCCATTGCTAAGCTCCCGGGGCGTTCTCTCTTGATGCAAAACATTCCTTTGCCTCAAGGAGAGTTTTTGAGGTTGGGAGAGCCATTGTTGTGGTCTCAAACACATGGAGGTTGAAAGCAAGATCCCCTTTGTGGAGCAACTGCCTCCATGCTGAACTTCTTTGAGAGACTTGATACGGTAAAAGTGAAACAAAAAAAGTCGGGGGCTGGGAAGAAAGGTGGTGCCGGAAAGAGGAGAAAGTAGCTAGATTTTGCTTTCAGCTATCAGAATGAGTGCGTTGAAAAGACAAAAAAAAAAAACCCAACCAGATTGTCTCATATGGCAGGAGAGCAGGCAGGGGCAATTCAAAAACAGTGCAACACTTTAAACAGTGGACTCTTCAGGTTGGCTTTCTGCTTTGAATTAAAACCAAAAAACCTTACAATGCCATAAGCAGAAATGTAATTACAATATTCATGTAATTGCGAGCACTGTGATTTATTTTTGCAGTCATTCTTAGTATTTCTCAGCTCTCTGAACTCACTGGTATTCTCAACATGTTCAAATTGCCATCTGTTCACATGCTAGCAAACCTCATTAGAGAAAAAAGAGAAAGAAAGGGGGACCCTAAACACACTACCATGCGCTTCTGTATCTGTAGAACAGCCTTAGGCAAGCATTTACATGTCCCAAAGTAATAAAACAACTTAAGTAACAACATAGAACATGTGAAAAAAAGTGATGTGTGTAGTCAGATGGATACGTTAGGAGCATGAGGAAAGAGTTTATGGGAATTCTCATACCAGTTGGCAGATTGTCTCATGAACTCTTGCAAACAACTTAGCCCCAAATACCCAGTTTTTCTTTCTTTCTTTCTTTCTTTCTCTCTCTCTCCTTTCTTCTTTTCTTTGTTTATTATTAACTAGTTGCACTTAGCTACAATAGAGATAATTTTTTTTTCTGGTTTATATTTAGTTCTTTTTTTAGGTCATCGATATAATAGCCCTTCAATTTTAGCTGTGAATGTGCTATGTTTTAATTTCTATTTTGAAATTAGTGGCTTATAACTGAGGAGTACCTGCCTTTAATGACTGATTTAATGGAACAGAAATAGAGGAAGAAAAAGCGATGCACCTTTTCTTGAAATGTTGTCATAAATCTTGCAGGTATATAATTAAGTTTAGCACTGCTTTGACAAAAGTCCAATGTTTCATGTACATACAAGGTGATGAGATATGACATAATTCCTCAACATGTGTACCACACATGATTAACATAAAGAACCCCATACTAACTCAGCCTAGTTTCAAAGCAATCCCATCTGTGGTTCCTATGGGAGAATACATCCATATGCAAACTGAAGTACAGAGATCCATGGAAGTGCCGGCTTTACTCTCAGATACGAGCAGACTGTAAGTGAATAACTGCATGGCCCTCATCGTATAGGAAGTTGCTTCTACTTATACATCCATCTAGCTCCCCTTTTCCCCTGCCCTTTCTTGTTTCAGAGCCCCAGAGGAATTTGATCTCTTTTCAGTCTGAGCATACTGGGACTGTGCGGGCTCTGGCAAGTGGAGCTGGTGTTGCACTCTGCTGTCTGGGGCTGCTTTAGGACAGAGATTAAAAGCCCTGTGACTGACCTGGAAACTGTCACATACTGTTAGTGAATTAAGTTTCTGCTACCTGACTTGTTATATTATTTGTAAATGGCCTGCATTATAAGTTCCTCGCTTTTCCTGCCATTTCACGCATAGTTAGGTACCCACTAAATGAACGCCCATACTATAGGTATGATGGAAGGCTGTATGTTCACTCATATTTAATAGCTGGAAGTACAAGATGTTGCGGTCTTTCCAAAACTATTACTACCTTTCCATCCTATGGCTACTAGAGACAGGCACTCTGTAAGTTGGTGGCAGTCCTCATGTATGGTTCTGACCTGATGCAAGGTTTTTCATACTTTATACATCCTGTGTAGTTGTGATGTCAAGATTTTGCATCGTACGCGGATGACAGCATTAAATGAAATACGTAAGAACATTTAAAGGGGAAACTGAGGAAAGACTGAGACTGAAAATAGTGGGCAACATTATTGAAGAAATAGATTGTATTAATTTAATGTAGGCTTAATTGTTGCAACCCCACAGTTCTCCGCGTGTTTGTGCACCCTGCGTGTGACTACTCAGCGTGCTGTAAGTAGCATCAGGGTTGAGGTTCCAGCCTTCCTCTTTGAAGTAGCCATGATAATGAGGTGTTCCCAGTGAGAAGCCTGTGAAAGGCAGTCGAGCAGTTCTTGGTTTCCCCATTAGAAGGCAGGAGAACACGCAAAACTCGACCTCTGCTGTTTTACATCGGTGAGCCTGTTTCATCGCTCCCATCGATTTTGCCATGAATTCTGCATGGAACTCATAGCCTTGTGGGAACATCCCAGTCTGCTCCTAGAAGAATCACTGGGATGCTACATCATCGTTCTTTTACATCAACGTTCTTCTGCATCATGATCGGGTGGAGGGGACAGGCAGGAAAGTAAACCTTTTTTGAGAATTGGCAAGCATACATGATTACACTTACTATTTTTAAAAATAAACTCCATAATACACAAATATTAAATGGATTTATGTTTTTTACTAGAAATAGATATACATTGCCAAACCTAGATTTGAGTTTAGGTTTTTCAGGATTTGTTATATTCTGATCATTACACAGAAAATGGAAGCTGTAGATTTTTAGCTCTGCATAATAGTTTCCTCAAAGGTTCCTTTCCATCTATAAATGGTGAGCTTTTAATGTTCTCCACAATACAAATAACCTTTTAAAGGAAAAGAGAAAAACATACATCGTGTTTTTCATATCACTTGTATGAGCATCATTGTTTTACTGCAGCAGCCAATGAGTTTAGAAGGGTCAACAATTTTTTTAGTGAATTATTTTCCAAGGTATCTTTCACAAAGTTTTTCTATGCAGCTTGAAAGGAGAAGGAGTTTTTTCACTATCATCCTATCGTTACAAAAATATTGCCTTGAAAATTAATTTTTTCATGTAGACTGCAGCCTGTGGTCTCATCTCTAAGTGGTGACTCTCCAGGAACCACATATTTGGAAATCCAAGCTCGGGGCATGAGAGTGGATGAGAGCAGACGCCTGTTTTAGATCTGCCACATCCCATGGTGTCTCCTATGTTGGAAACTATAGGCTCTCATTATATATTAGCAAGGAATATTAACCCAAGTATAGTAATGCATTAAGTTCATGGTGCAACTTCCACACCAGAACTGCCTTGTTCCCTTATGGCTATTTCCATGTTCACTCCTTGGCTGTTCAGCTTGAGATCATAGTGAGGAAAATAGCATTTAAAAAGAAAGGTTTAATCTGGTACAAATTGAAGTAGCTCTATCAAAGTCATTGATAGTACTGTCTCCTCTTGATTTTAGTTAGGAAATAGATGAAGAAGTTCAAATTGAAGACTAGATTTTGGAAATTGCCTAAGTTTAATAGCAGCACCTTAATTAAAGCCTTTGAAAGATGGATAAGCTATTACAGGGCTGCCTTACTAGTAAGTACGGCTGATAAACAATTTAAAAAACCTGTATTCTGAAATAGAGAAGCAACATGGGTAGAAGAAAATTATATATCATCCTTGCAGGAAAACAGCAAGATGATCCTGAAAATATTCTTTTATGATAATGGAGAAGTACTGAGACATTCAGGAGAAAAATCAAGCAGCAGGATGCTATCTTTAATAAACAGAACAGGAATGTTCCAATAAGAATAAAACCTGCCTGCAAAATAAAGGCATGTTTCCCTAGAAGGACTCTCACTGAATAATGCAATGGATTAAATAATAAATTTTTTATGTTATTGTCAACTCGCTTTTCTCCAAATGGCATTGTCATAAGTCAGATTTGCATAGTTTCCCCATTTTGTTTCTCTTTCTTATTTTCTTCAATTTTTATTTTTCACTGGAAACCACAGGAAGACATTTTTGTAGTGAGGATATCATTCCTGCTGATCATATATCATTTGTGAGCTGAGTGAATTTGTTCCACATGTCTTTTGAACATGTACTGCAGAAAATGTCTGGTAATATAGAGAATCTGGTAAAGAGGTGTCTAGTGTATTTTCATTACAGCTGTGTATTTGAATTAGTATTTAATTAGTAATGCACATAAATACATCTGGAGAGCTGAGAGTGAATCCCCCCCTCCTTTGATTTTTGCTTGAGATAAAGAAGCTCTGATTTATTATTCAGTAGTAAAGATCAGAGACTGTCTCAAAAAGAGGGGGAGAGAAAACAGGAGAAATATCACTGTCTCTGCATTCATTAATAGACAGGTTTTTCCACACAGTGCACTGCCATCACCTTGAAAACGGAGATCCTTGGTTAGCAGAGATTTGATGTCTGTATAGCAGGATATTTATATAATATCAGCATGAATAAACACGGGCCGTTATCACTGTGAGAGTAATGCAGAGTTTTAACCTTGGGGTCACTGATCAGTCAGCGACAAGTGGTTGTGGTGAAACATTTGCATTTTACTGCCTGATTATACTCAAACTATCGTCATCCCCATAGTGTTTCGGGGATGTGGGCTGTTGGAATACTTTGCATGTTTCCCTCTGAAATTCCAAGACTCTCACAGTTACACTCGTGTAGTTGAATTGAGTATCTCTAAGTTAGGGTTAGCTTTCTGCTTCGTCCTCCTCACCTTTAACTTGTCTCCAAACAAAACACTGACTTACAGTCTTTGATTATTTACCTCAGTTTCCTAGGTAAAATAGTTATGTGGGTTTTTTCTTTAGTAAATGCAACTATCTGCCTTTTAGCCAAATGGAACAGGATGGTTTTACAAGGTACCTTCCACAGAAGAGGTTATCTTGAGTCTGGCTGGCATTGCCTGTCTGATGTTTTTGGCACAATAACTCACTAAGCCACTTGGGTTTAGGCATCAGATATGCCTGCAAATGCAAATCAACATACAAATCAAGCAAATGCATCATAACTAGAAGCGCAAATTTTGATCTTACTTAGTGGAAAAATGAGAGAAATGTATCTGAAAGTTCTGTAGAGGAGATTCTTACGAAAATAATTTGAGTAAGAACCACAGCAAAACTCTTTTCCCCTCATTGATCATTTCTTTTATCCAAGATACACAGCCTGTAATTTGAGAAAACTATGTTTCTCTGCTGCACTGTTTCGTTAACAGGACTTATCTTAATGCAGCGCAACTCAGTAATAGCACAAGGAATGTGAGCAACAAGCACACTGAAAGCATAGCATATAGGTTTTTGTTGAAGATTTGTCTAAGCCTATGTGAACCTACGATAGGTGGCGTAAAATTCCTCCCACGTGATTTTTAGGAGTTCAGTGTTGATCAGCCTGGGCTAACAAAGCTTCCTTCATGATCAAGGGAGAGAAATTGGTACCTTTGGGGAAAGTCCACCTGGCATATTTTAGATCCCTGCATTAGGATGCACGGTAGCTTTCACTGCATTAACTTCACTCTCTGTGAAGGAGGGGAGACTGCAGAGGAACCTGGACCTTTCCACTTGATCTTCCACCTGGCCACATATTCCAACTTGTGCTGCTTCTTGCATAAATGTTGATGCTATAGCTTTCCATTTTGATCACCGTCACCAATGGTTTCTGCTTTTCCTTTAGGAGCCAAGCCGTGGTCCAACATCATGGAGATCCTGGAGGAGAAGGATGGGGTTGATACCGAACTACTGGTTTACGCTATGACCCTGGTTAACAAGGTTTGTTTACGTTTTTAGCATAACTGGTGGAGATAACGTTAGCATTTTCAGTTGTATAACGATCTTCCCTGTTGAGAATATACGACAAAGGAGACCTGTCCCGGAGAAGTTGCAGGACCAGCTGTAATCAGTCAGCACGCTCTTGTTACTGGTGTTGCAGTCACCCAGAGGCGGTAGCTGGGAGCAGAATTGCCATTTTGCTGGATGCTGTGCGGAAACGTGTTATGACACGGCTCCTCTCCCAACGCAGACAGCGCAGTGCAAAACAAAACTCAGCAAACTAACTCAACTAATTGTCCCAGGGGAGAAAGAAAGCAAGTGCTGGTGAAAAGATCACATGCTTACGAAGGCTTACATTGTGCACAGTTTTCGAGTTCAGATTGTTTACTTTTTTTTTTTTACTGCAAACCAAATATGATGAATTTAGCAGGTCTCAGTGCTAGTAAGAGTGTTTCTCCTTAAAAACCCGAAGTTACATTTTTTCTTCTTTCTTTATGTTTTCTGGCGTCCTGTATTACAGGTAGTAGTTTGCAGTAAAATCAAATGTTTTCCAAAGTACTCACTTGTGCTATGAGGAGGGAGAAGGTGAAAGGCCCGTAAAAGTTAGAAATTTGTTAGTGTAAATTCCTTAAAAATTAGCATCTAGTCCTAAACAAATGTTAGGGTGACTAAAATTAAAAATGGATTTTTTAAAGAGCACAGAAGATCAACATACTGCTATCAAATCAAAATAACTGTGTGTTTTATGATTATACTTAACAGGCCAGAGTATTACGGAATGTTATTACTATTGATTATATTCATTTAAAGATCCTGAGTTTGTTGCTGGAGGTCATAAATCAAGCTGCCAGCTTATTATGGTGATGGCTACATGGTTGGGGCCGTTGGTTGCTTTGGTGTTTTTTTGATAAAAAGATTTCTTAATGGCAGATATTGTCGAGCAAAGAAGCCTGAGAGGGCTCTCCTGGTGACATCGCTGATGTTACTGCACTTATGCTTAGAGCTGCCCTTGCTCCTGCTTACATAGTAGTAAGGATCCTCTTGACTTTAAAAGACCACCTTATCTCACTGATGTCCTCTTTCTGAAAGGCATCACCAGCTTTATATGCTTCTGTCTCTAGCTGCTATTAAAGCCAAGGCGACTAGTTTTTAATCTCTCTGTTTTACACCTCATTGTTTTGTGTACCAATTCCTCTTTCTGAGATAAATCTGTTCATCATTTGCACAGTCGTAATCTACCTGGTGTTTGACTTCCTCAAAAATGTTGTTCTGTGTTGATTCCTTTAGTCTAAGTTTTTCACTACATGTAAAGCTATCTTTAGGAGGAGGTAGTTCTTTAAAAACACACAAGAAGAAAAAGCATCTCACAGTCAAAGGATCAAGGCAGTTATGAAGATCAAGGAAGAGAGGAATCCCACAATGCCACACTTATAATTATGATCTGGCTTATGGACAGCTTTATGATGTTTTTAATGGGATTTTTTTCATGATTATAGAGAAAACAGCAAGCAGCATGTCACGGTTGTAATTTTTTTCTCCCGCAGAGAATACAAAGAAGGCTCAGATGGTTTCAGCTTCTCTAGGCAAGGAAACGTCAAAGTTTTCAATGCAGACAGAGTCCTTACGAGGGATTTGTCTTAAGGAAGCATACTTCTGCTCCTTTTTCTGTCGCCATGTATACATTTACAGTTTTCCTTCCTGCTCAAGAGCATAAAACACATCTGCCCAGACATAAGAATTGCTCCCATCCCTTTATTCTCTCCCTCTCTTCTGTTGATGCTTCACCAATTGACTTATGCTAACATTTCACTAATGTTAATCCTCTCTTAGTTTGGGGGGATTTAGGCATTAACAAATCTCTTAAATGAGATTGATCCCAATGCAGATACTTAGTTATGTATAGTTCCAGTATAACCTTTGTTATCTTCCTTTCCGTAGTTCCTGTGATCTGTTAGATCTTATTCTAGTCTCTACTTTCTTCATTTTTATTGCTGAAGTCCAGATAGATTAAAGCCTTTGTGTTTCCTTTGTATATAAAAAAAACCCCCCAAAACCTACTTACCAAATGCAGAAAGAAAATCCTGTGTTGCATTCAATTCACTTTCTATGTAACTGCTGTAAAACCTCTTCATTACTGAGATTACACTAGAAGCTTTGTAGTTGTAAGATTACTGTTGATTTTCTTGTTACTTGCATTTAATATTGCTTGTTCTCTCATATCATACAATACATTTTTTAAAAATACATAGACAAAATAATTAGAATGTACATAAAAATTAATATGTTTTAGATGGATTAAGCACTGAATGTTTTTTAGCAGGTCTCGTATAAGACTAGAATTTAAGCACCAGCTTCCAGGCCAGTGGTTATTAGTGGGAGCTTACAGTACCACCCACCAGCAGTCCGTCAGCTGAAAAAGTGCTGTTTCGGGGCAGTGTGGTGTTAATACAGCAGCTGGCACATCAACTTTCGATGACCTGCATTAAGAATATCGCAACTGCCACACTGGAGCAATGATCATCTTACGGCCTGTGTCTGATGTTGCCTGCACCAGATGTTTTAGAAGTTGCAGGACCTGGGAAAACAAATACATGAGAGAGGCTTCTTCCTATCCCAAAGCAATTGAAAACTTGGCTTATGCCCTTATGCGTGTTTATTTACCAGCTAGCGCGTTTCACCGTAGCACATAAGATTTAGCTAATGTCTCTGTCGAGTGCACAGCCCTCTAGTGAAGCCCAGTCTGTCGGATGGGTAGTAACTACTGCTAGTAGTAGTCTTGCGTTACTTGGACTTGCACGTAAAGCACTGCACACCAAATGGCCTTTCTGTTGTCTGTATCCTCTCTGAACCACTGCTTTATACTGTGATTGTTTTGTAAATGACAAAAGGCACCATGCTTATTAGTTTTACTAGCTAGTATCATCCAGGGCTACACATTTTAAAAACTGGAAATAGAGAGAGAGCCTTTCAGTCTGAAGCCAGGCACAGACTAGCACTAGTTTATGTCAGGTTTTGTTCAGAAACGTAACTGAGGATATGTAGTGATAAGAATATAGTGCTATTACCAGTTGAGTGTGTTGTCTAATAGGTTCTATCATCTAGGAAAACATTTGGCTGTTACACTCCCATAAAACTCTCATTTTTTGTTTGGTTTTGGTTTTGGTTTTTTTTTTACCCCCAATACAGCTTCATTAGTTTTCTTGCCTTTCTTTCCATTGGGACTGTTACATTTGGTGGTAGGTAAAATGTATTGTCTAGGCTTTAGTAAAAATGCTGTTAAGAAGATATATCAGGCTGAAAACTCTTGGGCTGGGATTTTGGTTTTAATTTAGTTCACTATTCCAAAAGCAGCCACTTGAGAGGGAAGAACTCAAAGCTGCACAGGCTTTCCCACAAGGGCTTGGGAAAGCAACTTGGAAAATCACACAGCAAACAAATAAAAATCTTAATTCAGGGATGTTTCCTCAAACCAAAACTGGATAGAGGCATAGGAATGAGTCCTGACATTCATATTTATGTTTCCTTTGTACACCTGAGTTCTGAAGAGTTTCGGATTCTAAATCCCAGTTTTGGTCTAAGGTAGCGAGACTGTAATAAAATTCAGCAAGCAAACCACAGAGTATGGTTTAAACACCCTTCTCCAAGTGGCTAAATTTTAATTCTCTAGACAGCTTTTTATTTTGTAAGGCTCAGTCTTCATAGCAGGAGGAGCTATTTGGGACTTTTATGTGTATTTTGATATTGGAGTATCATTTTGAACATAACCAGGTACTTGGGAAGGAGCAAGGACCTTGGAAGGACCTGTCCAATTTACGCCCTCTGCTCTGCTGTTTGCGACTTTTGTTTCCTTTATAAAGCCACCAAGAAAATTGCAGCCTACTCTTGTTTTCTAATATCACGGGCCAGAATTAATTTATGCAAGCACTTCATGTCCCTTGTGTTTAGTTACTGCAGAAGTCTTTCTCCTGTGCTAGACTGAACTGACCTTGTTGTGACACCAGTCATGCCCTTTTATATCCCATTTTATAATGTTAGAAATTGAATTCGATATGCATTAGGCTCTGAAAATGGATCTGTGAGTTTAATGACAAAGCGTGCAAAGGAAAAATATTTGATTCCTATACTTGGGAGTTCAATTGCCCAGTTCTGGCCAGTAGCATGCAGTGAAAATTGGATTTCCACTGCTGCATGATTTAAAATTATATTAACCAATAAAAGGCTGCTGACAAAAGCAGGGTTGCCAGTAAATACTACCTTATGCTGCTGTTTTCCCTGTCTATAGCCTGCCTTACCTCAGATTTTAAAAAAGCTGTACTTGAAGTTGGGTGATCTGCATATCAACGTTGAGACCGTTTCCTGATATTTTAAGAAGTAAATGCTCAGAAGATCTGTGCAGATAATCTGACTCTTTTGTCGCCCTTTTGCACATAAGACATCACATCTTACTGTGCATGAAGACACTCAGGTCAGCGTAGTTGCTGTCTACTTCTTTCATAAGCAAGAGAAAGCCTGATAAAGAACATCATTTTCTGTTACAGTATTTTCATATCCGTGTTAAAGCTCCATTGAATTTACAGTGTGATAGCGTCATTTGCTGAATCCTCAGACTTTTACTCAATGCTAAGTGTCAGTTTCGGAAGGAACAAAATGTATGTGGTATCTATTTTCAGCACTGTTCAGGAAAACGTTTCATGGCCTTCAGTGGGTTTTAAACAGAGGCTTAAATACTGTTCTGGACAGAGACAAATACTTAGTTAGAGCCTGAACATATAACCCTAACACTTCATTGGTGTTTGTGCTAAGCATTCCTGTTGCAGTGGACCTCCCCAGACATCAGACAATAGTCCTGTAATGACTGAAGAAGAAAATGTTGCTGTGTTGTGTTTAGTTTAAAGAAAAATAAAATTAAATTTAAAAGTACCTTGGTGATGCACATTTTCCAGTGCCTCATTTCACAAGAAAGAGGTGCTTTAGCAGGGCAGGATATGTCAGCTGTCTATTCCTCTGTCTTGTTAGTCATGTAACTCAGACCAGTGTTTTTAGGACGAGAAGAAATGGCCTCAAGTTGCGGCAGGGGAGGTTTAGATTGGATATTAGGAAAAATTTCTTTACTGAAAGGGTTGTCAGTCATTGGAACAGGCTGCCCAGGGAGGTGGTGGAATCAACATCCCTGGAGGTGTTCAAAAAACACGTAGATGTGGCACTTTAGGACATGGTTTAGTGGGCATGGTGGTGTTGGGTTGACAGTTGGACTTGATGATCTTAAAGGTCTTTCCAACCTAAATGATTCTGTGATTCTGAATGTAAAGCTTCTTGCTGTAGGGAGGCAGCCCAGAGTGGCTGCTCTCTTCTGCACTCTGCTGCTCAGAGCCACTTTGGGAAAACCAGACACCAGAAAACCAGTATTCTCGGAGCACAGTTCATCCCATCCTGGGCATGAGAAGATGAAACTCTTTCTGGAGGGAGCCTGTTTTTTGCGTGTGCTGTCTCTATCTCTTGTTCTTTCTCTAATTAAGTAGGAGAGAGGAAACTACTTTGGAGTAAGCATGTCTCTGGTGAGCTAATCCAGAGCAACTGTGTTGCCTGCAGTCTGCGTTCTCATGTATTTTGCAGAAATGGCTCTGTATAGACTGATTCTTGGAATGAGGTGTGCATTGCTCTGCAAGTAGGTTGCACAGTACGTTCAGTTGTTTCTGCTCAACATCTGCAGGATTACACTCATTTTTCTGTGTCACTCATAGGAAGCGGTAAAAAATCAGCCCAAGCTGAGTAGAAATCAATGGCAAACCAGAATACTGGTGTTTTCTGTTGTCTTTGTAAATGTCTGCAGGACTCTGGTGGATGAAGTTCACTTGTGCTCTGAACAAAGCTGTCCAATGCCCATGACCTCTTCCCACGCATCACTCTGCAGTAAAGCTGTGAGTGACTTGATTCAATCCCTCTTGCTATATACGTGGCAGTGTCGTGCTACGGTATGCACGGCATACTGCAGAAGACCATCTTCCTTTTCTCAGTTTTCTGAATTCACCAAAAAAATGGGAAGTGACTATGGTAAGAAAAGTGCTTTCTCTTGAGCGTAGAGCAGGTGCCATAGAAAGCTCTGAACTTAAACAGTTCATTTTCAATAGCTGTTGTTACTGGCATTCTTTATTTTCTCATAGGCAAAAGCTCCTTTCCGGTGCCACTGGTAACAACTTGCCTCATAATCAGGAATTAGTAACTCTTTTAACATTTTACAAGAGTTAAGGAGTCAGTGTACCTTTCATAAGGCTTTTCAAGTTGAAAGGGAGGAAGGGAGGAGTCGATATCTCTGTAATATAAACCAGTTTGTGCGCTGGGAGGGTGACCTCTGCTGCAGGTGTGGAGGACAGTAGGCACATGGTGCAGGATATTTCCTGCTGTCCTGACATCACACAGCTGTGCGTTGGACTTTTTCTTCTTAAGGCCAAACTTAGAGGAATCAGTAGGAAATCAGCTTCACTCTTTTTAGCTAAACTGTTTTTTTTGTCTGTCTTTGCTTTTATCCCTGTGTTTGATGCTTTAACATTCTCTGTTCTTTAAATCTGTACTTGAATGAAGCCAGGAAGAATCCAACTGTGTATTTTAAAGGCCCGCATTTTCCATACTTTTTTGTATGAAATAACAACATTTATTTGTTTTGCCAATTATTCATTTTTCTACACAGTGCACAGAGTTGTTTGTTAAGAGCTGTGCCACTTGTTTTTTATTTTCTAGCGGTGTCTCTAATCCCACATCATGGGTTTAACTTTATTGAAATCATACATAGCACCACTTGCCACCCGCTTTTAAAAACCTTTGTTTAATTCTTTTCAAAACAAACAGATTTAAATGTTTTTCCTTTGATTTTTAGACTCTGTCGGGGTTGCCAGATCAAGACTCTTTCTACGACGTCGTGGACTGTCTGGAAGAGCTAGGCATTGAAGCTATTTCACAGAGACACTTGAACAAGAAAGGAACAGACTTGGACTTAGTTGAGCAATTTAACATTTATGAGGTAACATAACATGCCCTGTTTTATGCATCTTACAGCTTGTGCAGACTTCAAAGCCAAGAGGAAGGGGGGAATGTAACCTAGGTGAAATTTGGTTATCTATTTTATTTTAAAAGGAAAACATCTGGTTGCTAGAAGTATTACACACATTCGTATATGTGCCCTGCTACGGTACGTAGCTGCGTTTAATGCAAATGCATTTCGTACTAAAGCTGGGGCATACTCCAAGGCAAACAAGCGTATTTACTAGCCTCCTTAGAGGCAGTTCTGCCTGCAATTAAAACTTTCTCAGACTGGTAGTTACACATCCTGAAGTAAGTAGAAGTTCTTTCCATATGCAAAAGTATTCAGCTCATGAAAAAGGTTCGGCTGAGCTCAGGTTCACAAATACCACTTGTTCTGCAGCTGAATACCCAGCAAGTCCTTGTTTACGAGTTTACACTGGACCAGATCCTATACAGTTTGCAGCAATGGAGTAATGAATGACTCCACATTCACCACCTAAGTATAAAATAACTACTTCAGAAGTATTTATATGTAAGGGTAGGATATCCAGTTTCTTAATTATTAGCCTCTTTTCAGACTTTGGGAAGGGTTGGAGTGGGGAGGCTTAGGCTGAAGTTAATGTAATGTAGATGTGAATTTGTGTTCTGATGTGATGAAATGAAATGACTTTATCTCGCTCCGAGTCCAGCGAAGGATTTGGTAGATTTGATTCTCCATTTTCTTCCTCAACTCTACACCCATGTCACTTCACTAACTTGAGCAGAGTTAAGTTTTATATACAGCAGTTTGCAGGAAGAGTCGGGCCAAAATAAGAACATGAGAATGAGAGGGCTCCATGTTCTTCTTTCTTTTTCTATTGTCAGAGGCATCAGCTCGTAAAATCCCTTTTAAAACATGATCATTAATCTTAAAAGCAGGTTTTTTAGCGCATGCTGTGCCTACTGAAAGACTTGATTGCAAAATTAGCAGTTGGCTTAGTCGGGTACCAGCTTTTTCTTGATGACCAGACTAAATTTAGACATGCTGTCGTGGTTTAACCCCAGATGGCAACTAAGCACCACACAGCTGCTCCTTCCCTCCTCACCACCCGCAGTGGGATGGGGGAGAGAATCGGACAAAAAGTAAAACTCGTGGGTTGAGATAAAGACAGTTTAATAGGACAGAAAGGAAAAAAATAATAATAATGATAATAATAATAAAGTGACAATAATAATAACAATAAAAGAATTGGAATATACAAAACAAATGATGCACAATGCAGTTGCTCACCAATCACTTACCGATCCCCTCACCCCAGCCAGCTCCCCCCAGTTTATACTGGAAAAACTCACAACTCCTGGTTAGACTATGCATGTTCTTTCTTTTTTCTGCCAATGTTGTTCTTTATCTGAAAAATCTTTTCTTCTCCACTGAAATAGATTTTACACCCTAAGCAGAGATATCACACTTCCCCCTGCCTTTGTTTTGTTAAAGTCACTTCTGGTAAGAATTATCAGAATAACAAGACTGATAGAAACAGGAAGATAGGCATTCTTCTGATCACCCACATCACTCTCTTCTGCACCCCTACCTATTTGAATGGATCTTTCTCACATAAAGATTACATAAATGTTATGCTGCATTTCAGATGAGATCCACCAGTAACTTTGTTGTTTCTGCCAGCAATATCTCTCCTCACGTCCCCTAAGGTAGCACTTGCTCTGTTTCTGTTAGAGGTATGTCACACTGGCATCCCAGCTGCATGCTGTAGTTCAAGATACTAGGTGTTGCACCTGTATTTTACTCCTCTACTATTTTCAGCTGATGAGCTCCCATCCTGTGTCAGAAGTTTCTGTCAAATGTCATTGTGGCCATGCTACTCTCAGCATCATCCTTTTCTGATATTATACATATGTTCCCCTCTATTGACGGTGCTTCTGAACTGGCAGGAAATACTGAATTTTCCACTGAAAAGCATACGTGAAAGTAATCCTGCTAACCTAAAAATTGGAAGGCTTAGAGGAGATGTGTAGTCTGTATTTTTTCTTTTAATCCGTTGTGGTACCAGTTCACAGAAATAGTTTTGTTTGTTAGGTTTTTTCTTTTGTTTACTTTGCAGGGAGATATATGAAAATGGAGATTTTTAAGAGGAATGCAGTTACATACGTATCTGCTGATCTCTTCCTTGGCTGGGAAGAAATGATGGTGCTGTTCTAAAATACTTCCTAAAGTAGTAGACAGTAACTTCCACTCGATCATTACAAATGTCATGTCTGAACATGAGGAAATGTTCAGTCATTCAATGCATGAGAGTTTTTTCTGTTGATTTCACTAGAGCCAAGGCTTTATCTAAGTATTTTGGAAGGAAATAAAGAGCGCTAGGTGTCCAACACTGCTCAGCTTCCTTGAAAATTAAGTCCTACATAAAAAAACTCCAAACAAACTAGGAGATATATAAATGTGTTGCTACAGGTCCTGTACTGTTCTATACAAGGCGTCAGTATGTAATTCCATTGTTAGAACTGCTACACTGCGCTAATGGATAGTCAGCAACTTCTAGGGATAGCTATAGAAATGCTGACGCTAATAGGGGTTAATGATGTTGAGATCCGTTAAGTTTTAAAGCCTGGGTGTGAAGAGCGGCGGTACCTAAAGGCACCGTGTCCGAAGCGTCGCCTTTCTTCCTTTCTTTCTCAGATGACGCTGAGACACGAGGATGGAGATGAGAGTGCTGACCCCCCTCCCAGCGGGCGCAAGGACCGGCGACGGGCCAGCCTCGGCACTAGCGAGCGAAGGGGCTTAGAACGCCGACGGAGCCGCAGGCACTCGGTACAGAACGTCAAAAGCACTTTATCGGCCCCTGCGAGTCCCTGCAGCCAGTCGAGTCCTAGCTTCGTGCTAGGCCACGGGCAGCGCGTCGAAGATCTCAGTGAGAGGTAAGCGCATGAGCTGGGGAATACTCCTTTCTTTTCCCCTATTAGTTTCCATTACGTTCATTGTGCTTTATTAACCTGACAGACTTTTATTTTCTTTATTTCCCTCTTTCCGTTGAATTAAAAAAAAAAAAAAAGCTTATTTAGAGTTAAAACAAAAAAAACCACCAACAATGAAAAGAAATGGATTTGTAGTTGACTTATCTACATAGCCAAGTTCTTTGGCACCATCATACCCTAAGCAAATGGATCCAAACCACATGAGGTAGAGCATTTGATATGAGAACTAACCAAGGGTAATTTCATCCATTGACAGATTTTATATTCAATATACCCACATAATAGAAGATTGTAACAAGGCCATAGTCACATTAATGCAGAGCTATTTGTCCCATGTGTGTTACAGTTCATTCTTTTTTTTTTTTTTTTCCTTTTTGCAATCAGCTTTCCAGCATAAATATTTTCCTTGGAGGCTATGCTGTAGTAGTGAATATATCTAATGTTTTATAATTAGTGAAAGAGAGACAGTAATGACTAGTTGAGCAGCAGCCTGCAACACTGGAGTCAGTCGAAGCTACCGTCATTGCGAGTCCCGTAACGGTTGGCTTGGGCTATGCATGCTTAGGAAAAAAGAGAGCTGCAGATCCTCAGCATGTCTGACTACTGCCTAAGAAGGCTGAAATTAATTTTGTCTAAGTGAAATGTCTGATCAGCTCATCTCCCTTTGATGTCAGTGGCGTGCAGCAAGCACTGGTAGGCCTTCAGTTATCTAATGTATTCTACATGCCTGAAATTTCAACCAAGCTGAATCACGCTCTGAAACTGGCTGTTTCTCTGTGTTGACTACAAAGGGAATGTGGCTGACTAGCTCAGGTGAAGATCCTGCACTGCAGATAGCTAAAGCTGGACACTGGCATCCAGCGGCTGAAGGTGCAATTTGAAAAACCGAAGCGTGCTCCACGAAGAGCGTATCTCGTGTTGATCATAACATTCGGGAAGTTCTTTGGAGGTTTCTGTTGGTTAGCACTGGATGTGAACTTAGAGCCTTAAAATCCTGCATTACGTGTAAAGCAGCCCTTCTTGCAAAGCAAACTGAGTAGAATAAAGTTTAATGGCTTCAGGCAATATGAAAATAGAAGACTCCAGATAATTTAAACAGTAGTTGCATGTCGTATACCTCATAATGGCTTTTTTCTTTTCTTGTTTTTTTCCTTCTTGCATTTGGCAACACATTCATGCTTGTTTTCTTTCACCTTCTGTTGGCCGGGTCTTTAGTGGGCTGGCAGCTGAGAGCCCCGTAGTCTTACAGGCTGCTGACAAGGATGACAGTGCGTTTGAGGCCGAGTTTAAAGCATCTTCAGTGTGAGTACAGCTGGGGGCTTCAGCCGCTCTGCATGGGATGCCTCGTGCATGATCTCAGGCCCGGCTTCATGACTTACAAATGTGGCTGGGGATCTGTATCTGTGGATGTGGAGCAGATATTGATTTATTTTTTAACTGATGAATTTGGGTTGGAAATGAAGAGATGCTTCAATTCTACAGAAACTGCTGATTCTCAAACTGTAATTAAACAAATACAAGTCATGCAGGACAACAACTTCTACCGATATGTTTTCTCACTATTAATGTTTGCTTACTAGCTTTATTTTGCATTCTTCAGTAACTCCTAATGAATTTGTGTTTGAGCTGATTTTTAGTATTGGGGGAGTAGAAACATGGCAGATGAGTTTCGTAAGTTCTTTGAAATATTTTTTCACCGACATAGCATAATTTCAATAATTATTCTACTATTTTGAAAAAAACCTACCCAGTTCTGCTCCACACCCCCTTTGACAGTGACATAATTTAGAGCATAATTTAAGTTTAAAACCAGGAAAGAAGTCTTCATTTAAGCAGTCAAATTTAATTTCATGTTGCAGTTATCTTTATAAAATTCCTCAACACCCCCCCCCACACCCACACACCACC